AAATGAATCTACCCTCAACAATAAAGATAAATAAATTTAAAAATTAAATAAATGTAAAATAAATTCATCTAAACAAGCCCCAACACTGTTCTCCACCCCTAAGTCTTGGCACACGCTGTTTCTCTAGCCTGCAATGTCCTTTCCTTCTCCGCTAAGCAGACTTCACAGAGCCCGCGTGAGCCCCCCAGGCAAGCCCTCTCTCCCTCTCCACGACTCCTAGCCCATGCCTCCTTCTCTCAGAAGTCAGCTCACTCTGGTCCGGGCCAACGGGTGTTCTCCACTAGCAGGCTCCAGTCTGATTTCTCTCCAGATCCCTAGCGTTGCCCAGCCCAGGGATGAGGAGTAGGGCAGGCATGTGTATGTGTATATACAGGCGTATACACAGGTGTGCAGGGAGGCCTCACCTCCGGGAGGGCAGCCGCTGCCGCATGCGATGACAGTCCAGCACCCACTCTTTACGCACAATGCGACCTCCGAGGCCTAGGACCTGGCTGTACTTAGGGGTGTTGGCAAAGGCACAGCTGTGGGGAGCAGAATGGGGTGTCAGTCAGGTGTGATCTGAGGGATAAAAGAGAAGAGGGAGACAAGGAGGACAGAGAGAGGGAGAAGAGACGAGTAAGAGAGAAAAAGAAACAGATATGGGAGAAACAGGGAGACGGAAGGAAAGATGTACAAATCAGAGAAAAGGAGGCAGAGGATCCATACAGAGAACTGAAGAGACGGAGACAAAGACACACACAGGCAGAGAGAGAGAGAAAGCAGGATGGAGACAGAGGCGGAGGAGAGGTAGCAGGAAGGTGGGAAGGAGGAGGTCACAGGCCTACATGAGGTGGGTGCTGTCTGGGGTCCAGTCTGGCCGATACTTGGCCCCGAGCTCTAGGGCCTTGTCCCGGAGCTCCGAGCGGAAGGGGTTCTGGAAGCCACTCAGCACCACCACCACGCCCTTAAGGATCTTCCCCATCTCCTGCGGGCCAGCTCGGGGTGCCCTGTGCTCCGTGCCTTCTCCTCGGGGCTTCCCTGGCACTGCCCCCCGTGCTGGGGCAGGGACTGAGGCAGTGGCAGGGGTAGAGATGGGTGCGGACACTGTGGAAGCCAAAGAGCAGGTTCAGTTAGCACTGCCGGGACTAAACCCCTCGCCCTTCCTCCCTCAGCTCCAGAGTCCCAGCCCCAGTCCGCTCACCCCTACGACACAGGAACCCAGGCCCCTGTGGGAACAAGGAATCCAGTTTGCTCACATTTGGGTCTCTTGCGGGCAGGTGGTGAGGGCTGGGCTGACGGTTTGCTGGGGGTCTTCCTTTCTTCTTGATTCAAATCCAACTTCCTCTTCCCTTTGGGGGACTCCTGAGGCTAAGCGGGGTGAGATGAAATGAGGCCTCTAGCTTCTCTCCTCCTCCTCCACCCGCCAGGCCTGATGATCTCACCTTGGAGGTGCTGCCTACTGCCCTGGAGGCTGGAGAGGTTGAGGAGGTGGCACTTGAGGCCTGCAGTGTGGGCAGCTGCATAGCTGGGTCCCGCTGGGTCACTGGTTGTGGCTACAGAGGGAGAGAGTGGAACCAGGATAAGGCTGGGCTCTTTGGGCCCTTTCAGTTCCTATCCATGCGACAGAGGGGTGTTCCCAGCAGAGACCCAGGAGGCCAGGCCCCCAGTCCCCTTACCCTCGGACCCAGGAGGCCAGGCCCCCAGGCCCCTCCCCCTTGGACCCAGGAGGCCAGGCCCCCAGCCTCCTCAGACCCAGGAGTCTAGGTCCCAACCCTGAATTCACTCAGGCCTCAGATTTTCCACACTCACCAGTGGATGTCTTATTGATCCGGCTGAAGAAGAGGGCCCCTGGTCTCAGGGAGCTGGCACCCTCATCCTCCTCCTTTACACGGAATTGGCCAAGCTTGGTCACCTTCTAAGGTCCCAGAAGGTCAGTGCAGTGGGTGTGGACTGTTGGCAGGTGGGGGAGAAGAGAGAGGGAGAAGGCTCTGGGGGTGGTGGGTTAAGCTTACCTGGGGTGAAGCCTCTACCTCATCTTTGTCTGGAGGGCTGTGAAACCGCACAAAACTCAGGCCATAGGGGGAGTCCTGGGAAAGAAGGGGTTGGAATCAGGGAATCTGGCCAAGGACTGAAGCCTGGCCCCAAGCCCCTTTAACTTAGGGAACCCTCTCTCTGGCTCTTGCCTCGTCTAGGGAGATGTCTGTATGATACTGTGGACAATAATAATATCCAGCTGTTACGGAGCCCTAACTCTGGGTCAGCACAGCTCTGAGCCCTTTTACATGCATTAGTCCCGTTAGCCGCATAAGCAATGGGCAAGTGGAATGGAGGGAGTGCTGCGTGTCACTTCGGGAATAGAGAAGTGCTCCAGGCTCTTTCCCCCTCTGCCAGCTGGATGCAGAGCCACAAGATGGGAGGAACCTGGGTCCCTGGATGACCAGTCAGACACCCCCCAGGACAGTTCCCCGGGTAAGGATACCTCTACTGTGTGGTGTCATTACCACGTGGGTCTTGTGATCACAGCTTAGCATCCTAACTCACAGCAACCCATAAGGATCAGGAAACTGAGACCAGAAAGATTAAGTCACTTGCCCAGAGTCACACAGTAAGAAGTGGTGTAGCCAATCTTAAACCCAGTGTCTGACTTCACTCTCTTGATGTTAACTCCTAGACCACCTCTCCAACAAGTCAGCTGTCCCCTCCCCCAGTTCCCCTCTGAGGTCCTACAGTTCACTGTCCAAGACATCGTCCAAGAAACAAAGCCTCATATGAGGGGGAACTCAAACCCATTTCAGGGAAGCCCTCCTCATGGTCCCATGGGGATACCAGCTGTCCAGTCCTCCCAGCCCACTGTGACTCTATACTGGCCCCTCTGCTCTCTCCTCACCCACGACCAAGGACCCTGCACTCCCCGCTCCCACCCTAGGTACCTTGCTATAGGGCTGGCTGCAAACAATTTTGACTCGGTCCCAGCGCTTCTCAGCTGCTCCCCGGACCAACTTCTCAGGCCCAAAAAGGCGAACACGGTTGGGGTTGGAGCCACTTCGGCTCTCAGAAGGGGACATGAAAGACGAGGTGACCAGAAGGACCTGGGAGAGGGCACAATAAATGAGGCTGGCTCCTTTAAATGATGCATCCTAGGGGCTGGGAAGAGGGCAGGGGGCCTGAGAAAAAGCTAGGGAGTCACCAGATCCAGCTCATGCCCTGACCTGCCTCAAGGTCTCTAGACTCTTCTCTTGTTTCTGGGCCTCCGGTCAGTCCTTCCCTGACACAGGTCCCAGAGGAAGCCTTCTGTGTACAGATCTGAATGATCCCTCTTAAATTCTTGCACAGAGCCTTCCATATCTGGCCATATGGCGGGGCCGCGCGACCTAAGGAACGAACCCTCCCAGCAGAGAAGATTCACGATGACTGGCACAGCATTCAAGCACCTTTTGGAAATGCAAGGCTGGGTCAGTGGAAAGGCGAGCAGAGTTATCAGAGGCCAGAAATGAGAGAGCTGTGCAGCAGGGGGAGCTAGAGACAGGCTGCAAGACTGGAGGAGGGAGGAGGATCTGCTCCTTGAAGATCCTGTGAGCATCGCGGCCCCACACACCCACCCCCCCCCCCCCCCCCGTGCTCAAAAAAAAAAAAATTTGGGGTTGGAGGTCTCCTTCCCGAGGGGGAAAAAAAGGCCCATTGCCCCCTTCCTAGCACTTGCAGAACCCGCCTCATCCAGCCCCTCCCAGGTCTGAGTTTCAGCTCTATGGAACCCAACCTCCAACATGTTTCAATCATTCCTACCTTTTCCTTTTGTTCCCCAACCCTAGGGGAGCAAAAGGCAGCAGCAGCTCCCTGCACTTGCTTCTTCATCATTCCTTAGTCTTCTTGCCTCATCAGTTACTAATTCTCTCTGTTAAAATAACTGGTGTGGTTTCAGTCTCCTGGTAGGACCCTGACTGATCAGTGGGTGGCACTGATGTGGTCTTTGTCCTAGTGCTGACCCTGGGTGGCACACAGAGCTTGATTTTAAAGGGCCCTTGGGGGGAAGGGGGAGGTGGCAGCAGGGAATAGAAGACCAAGCCTGCGCTCCAAGCAAGGAAAAACAGTATCTCAGAGACCGCCATCAAACCACATAGAGCTGGGCTCCTCCTCCATGAGTAGGTCAGGGGAAATGTGCCTATGGAGAGAGAGGGAGCCTTCGCTCTGGAGGACAGCAGAGAAAAGATGAAAATTTTTCTCTGGACAACTCCTAACCATGAGCTTGTACTCTCAAGGATTTGGAGCAAAAACCCACACTAGCCATCTGCATGGAAAAACACAAGCCGAACATTTTAAGTGGTCCCGGGTACACAGTGTCACCTGACACCAGGGCAAATACTCTTTGGAGAAACGTACTTCAAACCCAGTCCTCCAAGATCTCCCATAGCTACATTCCCAAAGAACAGAACACACACACACACACACACACACACACACAGGCATGAGGAAACAAGCTGCCATGACTTAGGATCAGCAGGAACCACAAGATGCAGAACAGACCCACAAAGGCTGCATATATTGAAAATATCAAACAGACAATATAAAAGCATTTTTAATAGTTTAAAGAAATAAATAGACAGAATGATGAAGGAACAAATAATAATCAAAACTGGCCAGGCAGCCCTAGCCGGCTTGGCTCAGTGGATGGAGCATTGGCCTGCGGACTGAAGGGTCGCAGGTTTGATTCCGGTCAAGGGCACATGCCTGGGTTGCAGGCTTGATCCCCAGTGGGGAGTGTGCAGGAGACAGCCAATCAATGATTCTCTCTCATCATTGATGTTTCTATCTCTCCCTCTCCCTTCCTCTCTGAAATCAATAAAAATATTTTTTTTAAAAACTGACCAGGCAATTTTGAAAAAGAATCAGAGCGTTCACACCCAACACTAAGGGATGAACCGTGATTGGTCAAAGCAATCAAATTCCCTCTGCCGATGGCTGGTCCAAGGATGTACACATGACCCACTTCTGGCCAACGTGATATTAAGAGGGAGGTCGTGTGGGGGCTTCTGAGAAAGCTTTTTCCTTCCTCATGAGAGAGAAACAGAGGATGGAAGAGAGCCACTGAACGTCTGCCATCCCACTTTCTCCAATTCCTGCTTTGGATGCTACGAGGTGATGGATGGAGCAGCAGCAATCATATCGCAATCGCGAGGGCAAGTCCAAAAGAACCAAGAAGTGCCAACCTAGCACTCTCACTCTCACTCTGTTAAGCTTCCAGATCAACTCTGGGTCAGCCTAATGCTAGCCTTCCCTCCTGAGGAAACAGTAAACAGTCTCATGCAGTGAGCTAATTTTAGGGTGGTCTATTCAGTTACTTAGTCTCTTTCTAACTGACAAGCTGTGAAATTAGAAAACAAAAGCCTTTTGCTAAGAAAAACATAGGCTACGACTAGATGTCTTTTTGTGCTCAACTCTGATTATGAAAAGGGAACGACAAAGACAAAGAAAATTCTACAGAAGTCTTGACTATAATTGTTTAAAAAGGCCTGATTTTGAGCTGATAGAGGAGCTGAATTTATCATCTAGTGACTAAAATTAAGGGGCAACTCAAACTGTGGTTGGTGGCTGCTTCCCATACCAGGAGGTAGATTTCCTCTGAATATACTCTCCTCCCATTCCTTGTAAAGAGAAAACCACTCTAGTTATCCGGCTGCTTTATTACCCAACACTATCTTTAAGGTTCCAGGATTAAGCCTTTACTCTCTGGATGTGTTAGCCTCAAATGCTTACACATCTTTTGGAGATGTGTAAGCCTTTGTAGAATTTGAAGGGGGGAAAAAAGAATATGTTGTCCTGGCTGGTTTGGCTCGGTGGGGAACGCGTCGCCCACGGACTGAAGGGTCCCAGGTTCAATTCCGTTTAAGCGCACGGCACGTACCTCGTTGCAGGCTCCATCCACGGGCGCAAGTGGGAGGCAACCAATAGATGTTTCTCTCTCTGTCTCTCTCCCTCCCTTCCACTCTGAAAATCAATGGAAAAAATATCCTCCGGTGAGGATTACAAAATAAAAGAATATGTTGATTTTGTAGAAAATGGTATTACCTATTACAACGTGTGCCTTACACTTGACTTGTACAGCAGGTCCTCGAATAACATTGTTTCATTAGCATGTTGATGAGTTGCCAGGGCCAATGCACTCAAATCTCAGAAAACTCTCTTGGATATCAACTAGCCTGTGGTAAAACTGGTTTTGTTACAATGTCACTTCCTTTCGCTTATAGTCACAGAATCTACTGACCAGGTTAAGTGAGGATTTACTGAGGTGACCTCAACGTTGACTAGCCCTGCTCTGCCCCTTTTCCTTTACTTTCTTGGCCTTTCTAGCCCTATCTAGTCTCTTGGTAGAAGCCAACATTATTAGCCCCAGTCTTGGCAAAGTATATTCGTTAAAAGATAAAACTTTGAGTGCCTGGCCGGTGTGCCTCAGTGGTTGAGCATGGTCCTATGCACCAGGTCATCCAATCGATTCCTGGTCAGGGCACATGCCAGGGTTGCGGGATTGATCCCCAGTAGGGGGCGTGCAGGAGACAGTCGAATGGTGATGTTTCTCTCTAAAATCAATTTTTTAAAAAAGCCCTGAGGCAGCGATTCCATCTTGCTAGACAGATAAGAAGGTGAATAATAAACATTCAGCTAACAGATATGAAAACTTTTAGCTAAAAATACACTTATTCTGTTTTCATCATTATAAAGTAGAATTCTGATCTAAATCTGTTTGCCAAAAAGAACAAAGAACTTATAAAAAATGTATTTTTATTGATTTCAGAGAGGAAGGAAGAGGAAGAGATAGAAACATAAATGTTGAGAAACATCAATGATGAGAGACATCAATCGACTTTCTCCTGCACGCCCCCCACTGGGGATTGAGCCCGAAACCTGGGCATGTGCCCTGACTGGGAATAGAACTATGGTCTCCTGGTTCATAGGTCGACACTCAACCACTGAGCCACACCGGCCAGGCAGAACTTTTTTTTTAATAGTCCCAAGGACTGTTAACTTTGTTAAAATAGTTAAAGAGACCACTAGACTAGGTGACTTCAGTGCCTTAGGGAGCTTATGTAAACAACCTAAAATTCTAAGCCAGGGTCAATGCACTCAAATCTCAGAAAATGAAATGCAAGAACTAATAAAGACAGCCAATTGAAATTTTTTTAATCTGAGAAAATTCAACTCAAGAACAACTACCATACAGCCAAAATAACTAGATTTTCCTAAATAAGACAACTGTTTAAGCTACAGCCATTAAATAATTTCTTTGCTTCTGTGTTTCTCTACCCTAGCCCATAGAGCACCTCTAGTCATTTTCAGCTGCCCGATTAAAATCATTAGCTCAAATAAACTCTTCAAAATGTAATGTGCCTCAGTTTATCTTTTTACATCTTATATAATCTTGAGAATGTTTGTTAAAGAAAAATATGATTTATTAAAATCTACCTTATAGAATAGAAAAGGCACTTGATAAAATTCAACACACATTCATAAAAAATACCTCTAAACAAAGTAGGTTTAGAAACAAATGTCCTCAACCTAACAAAGGACATTTATAAACAAATCTACAGCTGACATCACATTTAATGGTCAGACTCAACACTTTCCCCCTAAGATCAGGATCAAGACCAGGATGCCCACTCTCAGCTCTTCTATTCAACACTATATTAGAGATATACTAGTCAGTGTGATAAAATGAGAAGAAGGGAAAAAGAAAAGCATGAAGAATGGAAAGGAGGAAAACTTTTTATTCACAGACAATATGACTATGTAGAAAACCCCAAGGGATCTACACAAATCCCAAGGGATTCTCCTGTAAGAATTAACAGTGAATTTATCAAAGGCACAAGATACAAGGTCAGTATACAAAATCAATTGCATTTTTATTACGCTATCAACAAATGGAAACTTTTAAAAATATCATTAAAACAGCATCAATAACTTAGGCAAGAATCAATAATAGATGTTAAAACTAGTAAGTACAATCTGAGGAGTAACAAGATATTTATATAGTCTCAAAGTATTTCTTCACATGATACAACCTTAACCAAATGATCAGTTAACATCATCAGTAATGAAGCAAGTAGCACGTACCTCACAATCTGATGCACTGAGAAGAATACATCATTTTTGTGGTATTCTGACCCAAAGTGTATAATCTAATTTAATCATGAGGGAACATCAGACCTTTTGTACAATGAGTGGTGTTTTACAAAATCCCCTGACCGCCATTCCTCAAAAATGTCAGTGGCGCCTGGCTGGCACGGCTCAGTGGTTGAGCGTCGACCTATGAACCAGGATGTCAGGGTCAATTCCTGGGCTCAATCTCCAGTGGGGGCGTGCAGGAGGCAGCCAATCAATGATTCTCTCTCATCATTGATGTTTCTATCTCTCTCTCCTTCTCCCTTCCTCTCTGAAATCAATAAAAATGTAGTTTAAAAAAATGCCAATGGCATGAAATACAAAGTTGCAGGAACTGTTCCCAATGAAAGGAAACAAAGGAGATGTGAAAGTCCATGCAATGCATGATTCTGAATTTTCTTTTTTTAATTTTATTATTATATTTTAACTATTTCACTTACAGTTTACATTCAATTTATTTTATATTAGTTTCAGGAGTACAGCATACGGGTTAGACAATTATGTACTTTACAAAGTGTTCCCCCTGATATTTCTAGTATCCACCTGGCACCATGTGCAGTTATTAGAATATCATTAACTATGTTTCCTATACTGTACTTTGAATTTGCTTTTGCTATAAAGATCACTATTGGGACAATGAAGGAAATCTGAATAATGTCTGAGATCAGATGATAGAATACGATATCAATGATAATTTCCTAATCTTCATAACTGTACTGACATTAAGTTAGAAAATGTCTTTGTTTTTAGGAAATAGCCACTGGAGTGGGATAAAGGATAAAGGAACATCATGTATGCAACTTACTTTCAGTTAAGTAAAAAATATGTATAAAATAAATATGTACAGTAGTGCCTCTTATGCATGGGGAAAACACTCCAAGCCCCTAGTGGATGCCTGAAACCTTGGATAGCACCAAACGCTATATATGAAATTATTTCTATGCATACAAAGCTATGATATGCCAAAACCAGTTTGGCTCAGTGGATAGAGCGTCGGCCTGCGGACTAAAGGGTCCCAGGTTCGATTCCGGTCAAGGGCATGTACCTGGGTTGCGGGCACATTTCCAGTAGGGGAGTGTGCAGGAGGCGGCTGATCGATGTTTCTCTCTCATCGATGTTTCTAACTCTCTATCTCTCTGCCTTCCTCTCTGTAAAAAATCAATAAAATATATTAAAAAAAAAAAAAAGCTATGATAAAGTTTAATTTGTAAATTAGGCACAATAAGAGAATAACAATAACTACTAATAAAATAAAACAATTATAACAATAAAGGGTGGGGCAAAAGTAGGTTTACAGTTGTGAGTTCACAAAATAGTTTATTATTATTTATTATTGTATTATTTTCCAAATAAACAATTGTAAACCTACTTTTGCTCCATCCTGTATACTAACTATAGTAATATACTTAACACAGCAAAAGTTATGTGAATGGCTTTAGGCCCATTATTAAGTAAAATAAAGGTTACTTGCAAACAGTACAGAATACCTTGACCGCTGATCTGATAACCTAGAGGGGTACTAAGTGACTAACGGGCAGATTCAATTCTGGCCAAGGGCACATGGCCAGGTTATGGGCTCAATCCCCAGTAGGGGGCATGCAGGAGGCAGCCGATCAATGATTCTCTCTCATCATTGATGTTTCTATCTCTCCCTCTCCCTTCCTCTCTGAAATCAATAAAAAAAAAATATATATATATATTTTTAAAAAGAGCCAAAACAATTCAATGGGAAAAGGGAAGTCTCTCTCTTTTTTAAAAAATATATTTTTATTGATTTCAGAGAAGAAGAGAGGTAGAGAGAAATAGAAACATTAATGATGAGACAGAATCATTGACTGGCTGCCTCCTACATGCCCCCCACTGGGGATTAAGCCTGCAACCCCAACATGTGCCCTGACCAGGAATCAAACCATGACCTCTTGGTTCAAAGGTCAATGCTCAACCACTGAGACATGCTAGCCAGGTGGAAAGTCTCTTTTAAAAAAAGGATTTAAAAGTAAGTAAGTAAATAAATAAATAATTTTCAACAAACATGAAAAATGCACGTCATCCCCTACTTCACACAATATACAAAAATTCATTTGCAATGGATCAAAAATCTAAGTGTAAAACCTAAAAATACAAAGCTTCTAGAAGAAAACGAAGGAGATGGTGGAAAGCAGAATAATATCTATCTCCTCCCCGCCCCATCCCTCTCCCCTCCCTCCCCTGCAAAACTTCCCACAGTCTAATCCCTGGAACCTGTGAATATGGCAAAATAGACTTTGTAGATGCAATGAAGGATCTTGAAACAGGGAGATTACCTGGGTTATCCAGGTGGGTCCAGTGTCTTTATAAGAAAGATGGAGGCAAGAGAATCAGTCAGAGAAGAGATGAAGAAGATGTTAGAGTGACGTGATTGCTGGCTTACAGTGGTCGCCAACCGTGGTCCATGAGGTCCAAAAGGTTGGCGACTGTTGGCTTAGAAGCTGGTGGAAGGGGCCACAAGCCAAGAAATGCAGGCAGCCTCTAGAAGCTGGGACAGGAAGGAAAATGGATTCTCCCCTGGAGCCTCCAGAAAGAATGCAGCCCTGCCATCTCCTTGGATATTAGACAACTACCTCCAGAACTGTATGATCATAAATGTGTGTTGTTTTAAACCACTGAGTTTGTGACAGTTTGTTACAGCAGCAATAGAAAACTAATACAGGCACCATCGTCATTACTTTGTGACAGGAAAATATCTCTTATAGGACACAAAAGGTACTAAGTATTAAAAAACAAACAAAAACCCTGGATAGATTGGACTTCATCAGAGGCACTGTAATGAAAAGGCAAGTCACAGACTTGGGGGAAAATCTGCAACATATATATCTGAAAAAGGAGACTGAAAAAAATACAGAGTTAATGCCCATGACAAAAAGACAAACAACCTAATAAAAAAATAAGATAAATGAATGACTAATAAGTACATGAAAGGTACTTATTACATGCCATAAATGGTTGGGAAAATGCACATGAAAGCCACAATAAAATACCACTACATGCTATCTGAATGGCTGAAATTTGGAAAATTAAAAAGACTGGCAGTATCAAGAATGGGTAAGGGTGTGAAGCAACTAGAATTCTCATATACTGCTGAAGGGAATATAAAATGATACAACCACTGTGGAAAACTCAATTTCTAATAAGGTTAAAACTTATATTTATTCTAAGACCTTGCAATGCCACTCCTAGGTATTTAACCAAAACAAATCTCCAAAAGAGGCTTGTACAAAAATGATCCAGCAGCGTTATTCACAATAGTCAAAAAGTGGCCGGAGATACCAACAAAAGGATGGAAAACAATCGTGGTCTATGCTTACAGTGGAATAGGACTCAGCAATAAAGTGGAACAGACCATTGACATAGTCACAATATGGGAAAATCTCCAAAAACCATATGGTGAGTGAAAGAGCCACCCACAAAAAAATTACTCACTGTGAGATTCCATTTATATGAAATTCTAGGACAGGCAAAACTAATCTATACTGACAGAAAGGAAGTCAGAGGTTGCCTGAGCTGGGGGGTGGGGGGAAGAAGGGCATGGTGGGGAGGGAGGAGTGACTATTAAAGGGACACAGGGAACTTTCAGTGACGCTGGCAGTGCTCTGTGTCTTGATTTGGGAGATAGTTGCACAGGTGCATACATTTGTCAAAGACTCATTGACCTCTTGACCTCTACAGTAAGATCTGTGTATTTTATGGTATGCAAAATATACCACAATTAAAAACAATTTCTGCCCTGGCCAGTGTGGCTCAGTTGGTTGGGCATCCTGTGCAAAAGGAAGCTGCCAGTTCCATTTCCAGTCAGGGCACATGCCCGGGTTTCGGCTCCATCCCTGGTAGGGGGCCTGAATGAGGCAGCCTATTGATGCTGCTCCATGTTGCACTCTCAAATAGATGTTTCTCTTTTCCTCTCCCTCCCTCTCCCTTCCTTTCTCTCTCTAAAAATCAATCAACCATTCTTAAAAAACAAAAACAAAAAATTTCTCACTGCAAGAAAAAAAACACGTCTTGTAGAAAACTGGTTTGTTCACTTAAAATTATAAACGCTCTTTGTCACGGCAGGTCTATTTTTACCCAAAAACATTTTGTTGATTAGCTGGCTAACTATGATCTCATCGATCCAGCTCTAATTAATTCAACCAGAAAAATAAAAGGATTGTGCCAACTTTTAAAAATATTCGTAATAGAGCAAAAGGCATTCCTTCTTGGAAACATCTGTTACAAATCAAGTGACTAACAGAGGCAACCCACACAATTCGAAATCTCAATTGGCAGGGACATCTGTGAGAGCCCCTGGGGCTGGGTAAAGCGGTTTTGCTCTCCAGCAGTGACGGAATCTCAGAACAAACACGTGCCTCTGGTTGTTTATGCCACCACAATGCAACTGGGTCTCTTCCCTGCTCTGCACTGTCTATCACCTGTCTCCTCTGTACACCGGGCTCCTCCGGAGGGCAGTGGTCAGGGTGACTCATGTCCACTCTAGTCTGGCACCCACGGGAAGCCGTGATGGGGCATCTGGGGCAGGGATCAGCCTGGGGCCCATCGCAAGTCCCTGCTTACCTCATAGTCTTGCTCCCCGGCCCCTCCAGCCGAGCTGCCCACCAGCACCTCCACAAAGGCCGAGCCATCGTTCCCGATGTCCACACTGTGTATCTGCTCCTCCTTCTCTAACTGCAAGAGAGGGAAAGCCCACTGTTAGTGCCTGCCCTGCCCCAGGGCTCACTGTAGGACCCTGGGAGTGGGATGACCTTCCTATGAGCCACCACATCTCCTTGCAATGTCAACTCTGGGACACGTAGGTGGCCAATATTGAGTGGTGCCACCTTGTGCCCAGCATGTGGCATTCAGAGCTCAAAAAATATTCACTGGCCCTAACCGGTTTGACTCAGTGGATAGAGCGTCAGCCTTCGGACCCTAGGGACCCAAGTTTGATTCCGGTCAAGGGCATGTACCTTGGTTGTGGGCACATTTCCAGTAGAGGGTGTGCAGGAGGCAGCTGATCAATGTCTCTCTCTCATGGATATTTCTAACTCTCTATCCCTCTCCCTTCCTCTCTGTAAAAAAATCAATAAAATATATTTTTTTTAAAAGTAAAAACACAAAAAGAACTGTCTTAAAAAAAAATAAATTCACTGAATGCATAAACCCCCACACCCTCTTCCCCAGCTCCTCTGGACTCTCCAGACTCTGCCAGACCAGCTTATAATCTGCTCTCCTTGGCAGCACTTGCCAGAGTTTCCACCCCCAATCACAAAGGCTTCTGGGGAAGTTCCCTGAGGGTAGGGCCCTGTCCTGGTTTTCTCACCACTGCTTCCTGGGTTCAAAACCCAGCTCTGCCAAACACTAGCTATATGGCCTCTAACCTCGTGGAGCCTCAGTTTCCTCATCTGTAAAATGGGGATGATAACCATATCTATGCACGTAAATACTATGGCCACAGGGCCCGTATGTAATAGGCACTCTACCACTGTCAGTCAGGAGGCATTATTAGTCAACTGGGGGGGGGGTGTCTTCAGCCCAGCCTGAGCCCTCTCGAAGTCCAGGAGCCCTTGGGGGATGTCTGACGGACAGCTTAGGCCCATGGGGAGTGGGCCTAAGCCATCCGTCAGACATCCTTAGCGCTGCTGTGGAGCCGGCCATGAGCCCAGCTTCTGGCTGAGGGACGCTCCCCCTATGGGAGCACACTGACCACCAGGCAGCAGCTCCTGTGTTGAGCGTCTGCCCCCTGGTGGTCAGTGCATGTCATAGCGACCGGTCGTTCCACCATTGGGTCCATTTGCATATTAGCCTTTTATTATAGAGGATGCTCAATAATTATTTGTCAAAAGAAGGAAAGAGCTACCTGTAGGACCTGCCATCCCCTTCTGACATTTAAGGATGCAGAAAGCCAGGTGGGGGTGGAAGGCAGTTGGGAACAGCTGAGGCAAGTCTCCTGCTTTCTAGTTTAAGACTCCTGTATTTGGATCCTAGAATGACAAGTCAGCCCGTTGGTGTGGCTCAGTGGTTGAGCACTGACCCATGAACCGGTTCAATTCCCAGTCAGGGCCCGGATTGCAGGCTCAATCCCTAGTGGGGGGTGTGCAAGAGGCAGCCAATCAATGGTTCTCTCTCATCATTGATTTTTCTATCCCTCTCTTCCTCTCCCTTCCTCGCTCTGAACTCAATGATAATTTTTAAAAACCACACATATAGAATGACAAGTTATTCCAACCTTCAAAGGTACCTAGTCCACCACCGCTCAGATCATCTACCCCCACTGCTCAGATTATCTGATGCTCCAATCTGCCCTGTCACCTCCCAGTCAGGAGTTCACACAGACATCACCTGCACAGGGCTACACACAGGAGCATCCAACATGGAACGAAGGAGCCTGGACTTGGGATGAGTCAAGCCTGGGTTCAAATCCAGCCCTGTCATTTCTAAGAGTGCAACCCTGGGTGACATACAACCTCTCTGAGAGGCAGCGAACTCACATGTTAAAGGGAGGGTCCTCATTGTTATTATAATAACCCTCCTTCTGAAGCGAGCTGGATGACACAGATACTAACAACCATAACAACAGTTGCTGTGAACATCTAAGGGCCCACGATGTGCCAGGCACATAATGCATGCATCTTCTCTCCTCACAACGGCTTTGCAAGGCAGGGCTATAATTATCTTCATTTTATACATGAGCAAATGGAGGAAGGAAGTGGTTATGTAACTCCCTAAGGTCACACAGCTGGTGAGCGGCAGAGCTGGGACCAGAGACCGTGCAGGCTCGCTAGAGCTGGTTAGGGCTCCTTCCCCACCAGGTGAGCATGCTGAAGAGAGAGGAAGTGATGAGGGAGAGGCCTTCCCAAGGTTGAGCCATGCTGGCCTCCTGATGACTCCGCCCGCCTCCACTGCTGCCCTCAGCTCAGAGCCCTGCGCGGGTGTGGTGCTGCCCAGGCACACAAGTCCCAGCCTGACTTCTTGGCCTCCTGCCACACGTGGTGGCTCTCCTCCAGCCATGCTGCCTTCCTTCTGTCCTGAGAACAGGCTGGCTCCTTTCCACCGCAGGGCCTTTCCACCTGTCATCCCCCTGCCTAGTCTACTCCTCCCCAAACCTTCCTGTGGCTGGCGCCTTCCATCCTTCAGGTCTGCTCAGATGTTGCTTCAGCCCAACCAAAGTAGCCTCCCCACCTCCTACCAGGTGCTTCTCTAGCCCCTGTCCCTGCTTTATTTTTCTTCATTATCACCACTTGATATTATATAGTTACATTTTTTATTTGTATTTGTCTAACATCTGTCTTTTAAGCTCCATGAGGACAGGGGCAATATGACTCATTCCCCACTGTGTCCCCAATGCCAAGAACAATGTCTGATCCGTCCCAGCTCTGCTTAGTTACCGCCGTGTGATCCTGGAGCAAATGGCTTCATGTCACCCCTTGGGCCTTAGTTTCCTAACCTATAATATGGGGACAGTAACAACGTCTACCTCATACAGTTGTGAAGATTCAAATGAGGAATACACATGAAGCCCCTGGAATAGTGCCTGCCACAGTGCAAGCGTCCCATAAATGTCAGCTGATCCTATCATCACAAGAGGCCTCAGTACATTCCTGATGGATGAGTGAACAGATGGACAGGAAGTTCCCAGTGACCATTTGCTGAAGAAACAAATGCCCCGAGTTGTAATTCTGACTCTACTCTCCCCGACCAAGTAGCTTTGGTGAGTCGCTTGCCTCAGTGTTCTCATCTGTCACAAAAGAATCACCATGGCTAACATTTCTGGATTCTCGCTGAGTGCCAGGTGCGTAGTATATTCGTTTCCTGCTGCTGCTGTAACAAAGTACCACAAACTTCCTCGCTAAAAACAACACAGCTCACAGAGCTGGAGGTGCGTAGTCTGAAATTTGGTCTGAGTAAGATCACGGTGTCCGCAGGGCCGTTTCTTCGGGAGACTTTGGGGGAGAAGCACTTCCTTGCCTTGCTCCTAGAGGCCACCTGCCTCCGTGGCTTGTAGCCCCTCCCTCCAGCTTCAAAGCCAGCCATGGCATCACTCCAGCCTTTGCTCCCATCACCACATCTCCTGCGACTCTGGTTCTGCTGCCTCCCTCTCTCCCTCATAAGGATCCTTGTGGTTATAGTGTCCTCTCCTCCCCTCCCCCCAATAATCCAGGTTAATCGCACCATCTCAAGATCCTTAACTTCATCATATCTGCCAGGTCCCTTTTGCCATGTAAACTGACATATTCACGGGTTCTGGGGGTTAGGATGGGGCATCTTTTCAGGGGCCATTATTCTGCCTATCACAGTTGACGAAGCTCTTCCTGGGCCAGGCATCACTGAATCCTCACAAGGGTCTGTTACTATCCCAGTTCTTCAGATGGGGAAACTGAGGCTCGGTTTAAATAAACAGCTCACATGTCACAGAACTATGACTGGCAAAGAAATGTGGGCCCAGCTTTCTGACTATAAACTAACACTCCTTCTCAACTCCCCTTCAGGTAAAAATGCAATATCGTTACCTCTCCCACAACATAAAGCACCAGACCCCACATTTAGTAGGATGGATATATTTTGTATTTTAAATGAATGAGTCTTTTAACTACTTTTACTTTGCACACACATAGATTCCCTTGTATTTTTTTTTCCTTTCCTTCTTTTTATTACCACATACTTAGCTTAAAACTACATACATTTATTATCTCAGTTTTTGTAGATCAGAAATCCAACACAGGATGACCGGATTCTCAGCTCAGGGTTTTACGGGGCTGAAATCTAGTGCTAGTTAGGTCTGTGGTTCTCATCTGGGGCTCAGGGTCCTCTTTCAAGAGGACTGGCTATTGGCAGAATTCATTTCCTTGTGGTTGAAGGACTGAGGTCCCCCTTCCTAGCTGACAGTCAGGACACAACTCTTAGTTGCCAGAGGCCCCTCGCATTCCTTGCCACATGGCCCCCACAGGCCACTCAGAACATGGATGCTCGCTGCTTCTTCCAGTCAGCCAGAGTGTGTTTCTCTGACTTCCTCCTCTGTTCTTTCTTCTTTTTCATAAATAAAAAATTTTTCATAAAAATTTCCATGTGTAGACATGGAAAGAACCCAAATCAAATGTCCACAGACTTATGAATGGATACACATTGTATGGTCTATCCCGGTGGTCGGCAAACTCATTAGTCAACAGAGCCAAATATCAACAGTACAACGATTGAAATTTCTTTTGAGAGCCAAAGTTTTTAAACTTAAACTATATAGGTAGGTACATTGTTATTAACTTAATTAGGGTACTCCTAAGCTGGCCTTTGCTAAAAATGTCCTCAATCTGATTGAGGTACGTTCGCTGAGGTCGACCCCTTCCAACTCTCCCATCCACACTCGTCTTGTATACTTGTTTCGTCTATCTCCTTTCCGAAAACCGACTTCTGCGCATGGGCCACGAAGTTTCAATCGCACTGTACGTGCGCGCCCGCACGTGGTATTTTGTGGAAGAGCCACATTCAAGGGGCCAAAGAGCCACATGTGGCTCGCGAGCCGCGGTTTGCCGACCACTGGTTTCTCCAAACGATGGATTATTACTCAGCTCTAAAAAGGAATGAAGCACTGACACATGCTACAACATGGAGGAACCTCGAAAACAATACGCTAAGTAAGAGACACCAGACACAAAAGGCCACACATTGTGTGAGCCTATTTATATGAAATGTCCAGAATAGGTAAATTCAGAGAG